TAATTGGTGTATTCACTTACAGAAGTGTTCTGAGCTAGATGGAGCTTATGTTGACATATAAAACTTGTATTTTAAATTATTGTCTTTTATTACATGTTTTCATGAACTTTGTGATATCCACTCAGATAAGGCTATAACTACCTGACTTTTATTAAGCCAGACATTAAAAAATGCAAAATATAAAATAATACATCTTAATTATTTTTTGGAAAAAAGTTATTCTTCCTAAAATAATTTTTATGTTGCTATTTAATTGGTATATTTTTATTTTTAAACAAATAAATAAAGATTTTTTAGTGCCTTAGATACACATATCCATATAAAAGTTCTTTTTTGTGATTCTCAATAATTGTTAAAAATATAGAGAGATCCTAAGAATAAAATGTTTACAGGTACTATACATTTTAATAACTGTTGTCTGGGCAAGCCAGTGGCCTGATGGTTAAGGTGGCTGGATCCCAAATGGCTAACTGTGTGATTGGAGTCCTTGACTTGGTGGCTTGAGAGACACACATGGCATGTGTGTGTTCCTTCCCAAAATGAAGAAAAAATGGAGCAGAAGGGATTGTGGTGTGACCATTCCTAGTGGTAGGAGCAGAAAATATTGTGATGTGACCATTCCTTGTGATGGGAGCAGAAGGGATTGTGGTGTGACCATTCCTTGTGGGGGGTGCTTTTTTCTTTTCTTCTCTTTATCTCTTGTCTCTCCCCAAGAAGTGCACGTGCCCTCTGGCAAAACAAAACAGCAAAATGTCTTCTTAGAGTCTTTATCTAATTATAATATATACCTTCTCTGTTGACCTTTTTGTGTCATTTTTTATCCTTCGCAATTTTTAGGGTCACATATATATTTTTTTCTTTCAAAGCATATTTATTTGTTTCTTTTGATGTTTGTCATGGGACACATGTACTCTCAGGAGAGAGACAGAGAGAAAGTGAGAGATCTCCACTCTCCAGGGGGATGGCTGTACTACAGTTCCCTCTCCATTCTCCTGTCAGGATTTTGGGCACACACATACACATGTGTCTGGTGTGATTTTCAAACCACTGGTTCTGGGGCTTGAACCTCTGGTGGACATTTGGGAGTCCAGTGCCTCAGCCACCATGCCACTTGTGCTGATGCCTAAAATCTGATTTTTTTTTATTTTTGCAAATTAATATAGATGACTGCAGTTTTGTTGATTCCCTTCAAGGGCTTAAGGGCCTCAAGCATATATATAGCTATACTCATGGCTAAGGCAAAATAATTTACAACAGGACCAGCCTGGGTTAAATGCATAGGCAGGGACTTCAAAAATCCAGTATTTTTTTTGCCATGGGTCTCATAAACCTGTTCCTTTTTCTGATCATGAAAATTCACTAACATGGGAACCAACAGTTAGCGTAATGGCTATGTCGCTGGACTCTCAAGTAGTTGACTGCGGTTCGTGTCCTGAACCCGGTTGCTTAAAACTCACGCTGAGCGCATGTGTGTTCGTGCCCAAGATCCCAAGAGAAGAATGGAGGAGAAGGGATTGCGGCATGACCATCCCCCCTGGAGGGTGATTTCTCGCTTTCTGTCTCTATGTCTCTCTCTCTCTCTGTCTGGCAAGCGCACATTCCCTATAGTGAAAAAACCTCTCCAAAAAAAAAAAAAAATTCACTAACATGTGCCATGTTTCTCCCCATTAATCCAATAGACTCAACACTCCAAGGGTTTATTAAGAATTGGTCAGATAGGTACCCTCAGCCCAGCAACTACAAAAATTCTAGATTTCAGAAGACAGATACTCAGTGCTTCAGGCAGGTAAAACTATTTTATCATGAAGATTTTATCTAAGAAGGGAATAGGGAAAGCCAATCCTTCAAGTGGCTTCTAGCTACTATGTTTTAAACTCATTAATACATATAAAATGAATCAGAATTGTGTGTGTTTGTGTATATTTCTACTGGAGAGTCAGAAGAGAATACTTCTAAATTCAGAGTTTAGAGAGCGTTTGGAGGAATACAGTGTTAGAGAACTTTGGAAGGATATTTCAGCTTGTATTCAGCTTTCTTTTTATCTCAAATAATAGCTTGATGTGGACTAGATTAATGGGAGAAAAGTTGCTCTTAAGTTCACAGGCCAGAGTTACTTGCTTTGTGCCTGATGATGCTGTGAGCCCAGCTCCTGTTTCCAGCTCTGCAGTTTTTCCATGATAGTTATATATATTGCATATCTTTGATATTGTAAGTCATAATATGGGTAAGTTGTATGTATTATCTACATGTACATTTATTATATGTTGATGATCAAGTAAAAACATGATAGATTAGTAAAATTTGTGTCTAGATATGACACTGTTTTCAATACTGACTTTGTTTGATGGACCTTTTTGGTGTGGTGACATATACCCTTCTTCTGGTTCCATTCCGATGTGTCCTGTGATTAACATCTTTTCTGTTTACTCTTT